ACGCCCCCTTACGAAAATGCTCGATTCACTCATGGACCGTCTCTTAAGTGATCGGAAAACGAACGAACATTTTGTCTAAAGACTTTTGCAACAGAGGTTATATATCGTTAATACAAAAATCTGATCGAAGTATGCATCATTGATTTCTACTGTAAATCAATGATAAAAGCGTAGGCTTCTCACATCATTTTTTAGTTAGTTTTTTTCGTCTATCGTTTATATTTATATATCCACGCATTAGGTAAGGTATTTATCATTTAAAAGATTTATTATCGAATCTCGTTATTTATAAGTTGAAGTGTCATGGAGGACAATGATAATCAAAGAAAATCAATGATGAAATATTTTAATATTCCAATTGAATTACCAGCAATAAGGTTCAAAAATGTGGATAGACAGGAATTAATTAATGAAGATGTCGAAAGTTTGTTTGATGATACAATAGATGTCAATAGAAATCAAATGATAGAAACAATAGAAGATTCTGGTAATACATTGAATAACTCTATAACAAAAAATCATCGAGTCGTAGATGTACTTATTGAAAATTTAAATTTACCAAGCGTATCTATCACCGATAATATAAAGATAAACGTCAGTCCTATAGTTGGATATACAAATGAACCTTTATTACCACTTCATAAAGCATGTGCTCCTTTGAAAAAAATTCTTCATGATTTATCATTCTATATTGAAATGGCACTTCAGGAAACTTCCGAAATGCCATCAAGTGGATTAACAATTGATGAAAGTGCTGCAATTCGTCTTTATACAATCGAATAGGCTAAACTTCGTCAAAGTCTTTATGCGATGCTCAATCACACACTCAAACATGAAAATCAACAGCAATTTCGTCCATATTTCAAGTATATGAAATTATTCTTAACTGCATTAACAAAAATTCCATGTCTACCACCATCAACTGTCTGGCGTGGTATCACGAAAAATATTAGTGAAGAATTTCAGCCGAGTACTGTTATGACCTTATGGCCATTTTCATCATGTACTGTCACATTACCTGTTCTTGAAAATAACATCTATTTAGGTACTACTGGTAATCGAACATTATTATCTATTGAAGTAATTAATGGTCGAAATATACGCGATCATTCACATTTTCAGACTGAAGATGAAACTCTACTTCTTCCTGGTACTCGGATGATCGTTCAATCACAATTCAGTCCAGCATCTGGACTTCACGTCATTCATTTGAAACAAATTATACCAAAAGAAGTGTTACTAGAATCACCATTTGAAGGTATTTTAATTATTATTAGTCAATCATTTGAAATATATATGCATAATTTTAGGTGTACAACTTTTTCCAAAAATCAAGTAAGTCTAAACGAATTTCATTGAAACTGTATTTTTAATCGGATATTTTCTTACATCTTCAAGAGATTCATGGTATCGAAAGAAAAGATTTGCCATCTCATTCGGTACATTACTCATTGGATCAATAGTTATAGGCTCGGCTTCGGGATCAAAATTTGGTAACAAAGACACGAACTCAACAGGTTCGATTTTCTTATACTTTTATATAGAATAGTACCACAGTCAGAATTTTTTTGTGACAAATTATGTAGAGTAGTATAATTTTAATTATCTATTGTAGAACGACGGTGCAGTTCTCCTTACATTCGAGTATCAGGTACTTATAGAACTGGTAATACACCCGTTTCAGCTGTACTGGGCGATTTCAATGATGATAGTAACATCGATAACGTAGTAACAACTCAATAAGATAATGAAATTGCTCTGTTATTTGGTAATAGTGAAGGCATTTTTCATGGACGATACAGTATTCCGACACATCCACGACCAGCCGCAGTCAAGTTAAGAGATTTAAATCAAGATAAGAAACTAGATTTGATTGTAGTCAATCAAGGTAATAACACGATTAGTGTGATGCTCGATGATGGAAATGGAATATTTCAGCCACATATTTCGTATCCAGTTGGAAATCAACCATGCGCCGTAGTAATCGATGATTTTAACAATGATAAAAAATTAGATTTGATAGTGACCAGTATAAAAGATAACACTATTAACATTTTATTACGTAATGCTTATGGACGCTTTTCAGCTCAACAATCCTATTCTGCTGGCAACATCGTGAGCAACGGCTTATCTGGACTCGAAAACATCAACACTTCAATTGGGACAACGTGATCTTTACTGATGAGAAGACGTTCAAACTTGGCAACAACAGAAGAAGAGTTTGGAGACTTCCAGGCGTTACCAAAGTGTTTGTACAGTTAAATATCCTCTCAAGTTGCACGTCTGGGGATGTTTTTCAAAACAGGATTTCAGACAATTAATTACTTTCAGGCATAATTTGACAGGGAATTTTATGTACAGTATATACGAGAACGGTCTTCTGTCTACTGTTTATCGTCAATTTTCTGAAGGTTCGGCTACCTGGATCCTACAAGAAGACAATGATCCAAAACATAGATCTTGGCAGGCAATTGACTGGAAGACCGACAATCAAATTCAAGTTCTGTCTTCGCCATTTTCATCATCTGATCAAAATCCTATTGAGAGTGTTTGATCGATGATAAAGAATACAATAAGTCAAAAAAACATTGAAATAATTCGAGAGTTAGAACAAAAAGTAAGAAAGGCATGGAAGGCTCTGCAAATTGACTTGGCTGTCAAATTGATCGATAGTATGGAACGACGAATACAGTGCTTAATTGAAGTAAACGGTGACTATACATCATATTAAACAAAACATTTTGTTATACTTTTGTTTGAGAATAATAATAAAAAGAAAGCGAATAAAAAAAGGTTTGAAAAAAATGGAAGGGGGAAGGGGAAAGACTTTTGCTCACGGATGTATTTAAGAAAATCCAAAGAAAGATTTGTTAAACTACTCTGATGAACATATTTTGCAGATTTTTTTTCTCTCTATTTGTCGTTTTTGTTCTACATTTTGATCTTTTCATCTTTAATAAAAAATAAATAGAAATTTAGTTTTTTTTATTT